GAACGTACAATGAACAACGCTGAAGGAGCTCCAATGCATTCACAATAATAGAAATTGTGCTCATGATTGAGCCCTCTGTAATTGAGCCAATAATGTTACTGCTACGAATGTGTCAACTGATTTCGTCATTAATCGTTGCTTTTTCAAAACAAGCGCGCCACTTATGGAAAAGCCATAGCATATAAGCCATATTTCATGCCAAAGCCGTAGCATATAAGCAGTACGAATTCCAAGCAAGGTGGCTCTGGCGAACAAAAGAATGCGGGATTCATCTCGTACTGCATGCGTTCAGATATTACGGAGATTAGGAATGCTCATATGCGTCCTTCAATATGCATCTAGTTGCACGGAGAAGGTGCTATATGTCGTCATATCTGGTCTTGAATGGGTCACTCTTTATTTAACATACTCAAATGTATGAACATATTTGAATGTTTATGCGGTAAAATAAAAAATAATATAAAGAATCGTAGAAACATTTAAAAAATCCTGACTACAATATTGAAAACATAAACTTGGCATATTATTCTTGAACCTCTAAATTTTAAGTTAAGATATTCGTTCAAAAGGGAAATAGTGCGACCTCAGTTCATGGTTTCTCTTTTCATGTGGCATTTCCTAAGCGCTTTACGGACTTATTGTCCATGGTCGTTGGATGCATTCGAACTGGTCATACTTACCCACGTCTTGCCGCAAAATAAAGTGGAAGAATGCAAATCGCCTTCGAAGAGATTAGCAGAACTCTGTCCTATGAGGAGATGAACATCATGATCGCAGAGGTTGCTTCGAGGTGCTGAAAATCTATTTTTGGAATCATTGTGTATCTCTAACTGAAAAATGAATTTCGTGTGAAATGTACACTCATCAATTATCATAGACAGTCACCCCCGGGATTTCCATGGCTAACATCAGCGTATATTCTTTCGGCCAGAATCATGACGCAAAATATCGTATACTTTCTGGATGGAAGATGACGTCTGAATCAGACAGGATGTCCTGCGAACATTTTTATGTTAGAAATGCTCTGGGAACTTTTTCCCTTTCGTTTGCTTTAAGAAAAGAATCTGCAATACTAAGCTAGCTCATCTAAAGTTACGCTTATAACACCGACATAACCTTTGCAAATGAATACTGTAACGGTTGCTAAACGTCGTTATCAGGAGAGCATCCACTGGTTTGTATCCTACCGTCCAATTGTAACTTTTCAGGATTATCTTTGTGCATACTGTAGATCAGAGTTGAACTCGACTCGATACTCTCTTGTTTATGAGTACAGGAATGTTGAACTCCACTAAATAGAAAACCGCAAAATTCGCCATCTATCTTTCCATCGTGAGAGATGCACTGGTAATTAAATGTACGTACTCAGAATCAGGTGTATCGACCAGGTCAGGAATTTGACCCTCATCTCATGTATGAAATCGCATGCACACAAGTCATCGCTGTTATATCAAGCAAATCTCATTAATATATGTATGAACTAAACTGTCAATTTTTTAGACTATATGCATCCTCAGAGTCAGTGAATTGAAAAACTAAGATTCTGACAACGAAGTCCTTCAACACAATGAAACACAAAAAAGACGCCAAGGACCGAAAGAGTGAAGAGCCAACGTTTTAGGCAGCCAGTGAATAAACTCAGAACAAGCAGCGTATGTGTCCTGATGTTATGCAAAGTGTTCTGAGAATGCACAAAATATTTTTTCGTTATGTCATAATCATAATCTGTTCAATAAAGTCTTTCTGGGCTTAAATTTTCCTTTATTGTGCTTATTACCACTATACTGAGCTATGAACTTCATTTTGAAGGAAAAAACCAAAAAAATTATTTGATACTATTCTACTCCAGTTTGAAGATTCTGTTTAAGTTAAATGCCTTTGAAGACATTGTCTCAAGATGTTCAGCTCGTCCCTTTTAGTGCCAGCTTCTTGAAGAAAATACTTCCCCTTTCCATCCACTGAATATAAATTACGTCATGAACCGATGAAGAACTTAAATGGTCTAAAGTACTTTTGCTTACCTGTTATGTAAAAGGATATAGGCCAACCTCCAATAGCAGGCAGAAGGTATGCAAGCCACATCAGAAATGGTATTCCGGCAAAATGTGCCGCACAGGAACCTAAACATAAGGAATGGAGTCATTTTAGTCTAAAACGTCAATAAACTGTTTCGAACTACAACGCACGATAGGTTATATACCTGTAACCAGATGATCGTTAGTACACATTTATTATAACTGGTATGGATTCAGTTGCTGTACACGAAAGCGAAAAATGCATTCTAAATTTTTTGGCTCATCAAAGTTGATCATCCTTCGAACAAATATTGAGTATGATTATGTTTTTTGGCCAAAACGTCGAAAGTGCGATATAGACTGAATATCGGTCTTTTGGTTGTCAAATCAGGTCAAATCAAGTTTAATGCTATTATAGATGGGAAGCACCGACTTTTCACGAATTTTCAGAAGGTTAAACGCTTGACAAAACGATAGGATAAACGAGAGCTAAGACGAGTACAACGAGGCCATTCACAACGAGTTCAAATGGAAAGACTTATGAATTTGTCTGAGTCCCTAGGGATCCGGATTATGGGAGTCATAAATGAGTGCCTAGGCTTCAGATCTGAAATATTTTGAGTTTAGCTCGTTGCTCGTCGCCTTCACAGCTGGCAAGAACATTATTTGATTGATGGGCTGAATTTAAGCGAAGACCATCATAACCTCGCAAATTTCCATTGCAATTGTTGCTGCGATCCACTGATACGGCAGGCCCGCCGATTTATCGTAACGCCACAAGCAGTGATGCAGAGCACCACAGTCGTTGACCGACAATCCTTCAAGGAAAACCACAGTCCTTGATACCACGGAGGCTGCTCATGAGAAGCGGAACTGTCAAAATATCAAAATGGGTGCACCTGATTGCCAGGGTCTTTGAATATGGAAGGGAGCAATTTTCAACTTTCCGTGCCTTCAACGCAATATGTTGACCATGTTAAACAGACGGTCAGATGCATTCCAAGATGGGGGGGGGACGACTTCCTCTCCTTGTAAATGAAACATCTGCTGCACAGGGCGTCGATGACATATCTTGAAGAACGTTAAAAACGTATGGCACGGATATGGCTGTGTCCGTGGCTACCGAGTCAACACAATATTTGCATTTAAGAAGCCACGGAATCCATATAAGGTTTCAGACAATTTAATTGTATGAAAAATAATTTATTAAATAATCCCATGAATAAATGTCATTAAACAAATAAACGACGTTTCGTAGCATATTCGATTTGCTGTCGATTTAATGTTGCTAAAGAATGATAATAAGAAAAGAAAATAAAAAACTTTATAAACGTTAGAGTATGATTTTACTTAAACTTCCATTTTTGGCACTGTTCTTTTATATGCCTAAAGGAAATTATGCGTTACAGTGACCAAACGTTTGTAGTGTTTTTTTGCACTGCTGATAGATGGCACCAAGCGAAAACCAATGTCGTTTGATGCACTCCATGAAAGAATGATATTCAAATTAAGACACCGACATTTTACCAATTAAAATTTCTATTTTTGTGCTTTACAAGAGATACTTATACGTACACTTTTCTTATACTGTTTATCCGTCGTCGCTTGGTTTATAATTCAACTCTGCATTAATACATACATGTCCTGCTCTAGTCTCCCTACAGTTGCCACTCATCATTCCTACACGTTTTAGAACATCACAAAGTGCCTCTATGTTTGACAGTCCATTGAATGGCTTCCAGATTCGATCTAATTGCTTAGCTTTCATATCTATGACTTTTGAGACTTTGAAATTTCCAGTTTTTACGCGTTCCATATGCTACCACGTTTTGGTCAGTTTTGACACATGTGAGAGTCACAAAAAATCTGCTCCTTCCTAACTTAAAAGTGCATATCGTCCATAAATCCATATCAGAATTGGCGGTGAGACAAGTTCAATAATGAAGGCAAAAAACGATAGAAAAGTTACGTTGTCGGTCAGGAATCTTTCTTTCGACATTGACCTGTAGCAGTGGTCTCCAACCTTCATTAAGTTCCCAGTTTAAAAAGATTGCCTGAATTCTGTATGTTGGTAAAAAAATTTTTATTGCCAAAATCTTCGAGGGATTTATCCCATGTGTAAGTTAAATCAGGTTCATTGGTACGGTAGGTAGAAACTAGTAACATTTCAGCAAGTTTCCAAAAAATGAAGCACAGTAAACCTATTAAAAAG